AAAAACTCGATCGTTTGCACATGGCCTCGTTTTACTGGACTCCCTGACTTGCAGGGCTAGTATTACAAATTGTAACGGGTGTGGAAATCTGACCGCGCTGTACCTGCCAGGCAAAATGGACGTGTCAATCCGATCCGCTGTAGACCGCAAGTGTCATGTTGGAACAGAGTAAGAAGCGTAAACTTTAGGGTTCAACAGAAGCATGGACCCCCAAAAAACAGTGGCTACCTCCTATTCTTAGACTTGTTCTTCACTGACACAGCCGCTCTGTACTCGTTTCTCGAAACAACTGTTCTCGTGGTCCGCCTCTGGAAGGTCCGTTGAACAACGAACAGCTTGGGGCGTCCAAGCAAAGGATTCAGCTCAGCTTACGTGATCTTTGTTGATTCGGATTCATGAGGATTCAACAACTTCTTTGTCTCAGTTGCTTCAAAATGCTGTACAATGATTAGGTTCAGCCCCTCCCCATTGGTTGATACAGCATGCTGGGCCCATGCAACCCGCTGTTTTAATCACCGTGCCAAAGCCCACCGACATCGTAGAACCGATGAGAGGTGATGTCTCATTGCTTGCATTGGGGTGGTTGAAAAAGGGTCAATGTAGGTATCTTCATATACAGTGGGGTCAGAGCAGCAGTCCCCAATGTCGGTGGTTTATATGGACTCCCATCTAGCAAACGTGTAGGGGTGCCAGTGCCATCTACTAGTACTCTGAAACCGCTGTACTAGCATATGCCAGTCCCTTGGAGTGTCTGGGGAAGTCCGGGGGGCGACCCGGTTCTAATAAACACATCGAGGGAAACCTCATGAAGCCGCTTTTTTTCAAACGGCCTGTTCTGCCAATGAGCAACCCCCAGCGCTCCCAAGCCGGAGATCCCTGGAAACTGCCGGAGATCCCTGGAAACTCACGGATTTCACCATTGTTTTTTTCACCCATATATCCGCTGACCCCAGTCGTATACAGGTTTGTTGTTGCTTCTTTTGTTTTTTTACCGGTTCAAAATTAACAACCACCCCTCGCCTCTCCCTTTCCCTTCCTTCCTCTTCCCTGGCCGGCTGTCGGGAATGGATTTGAGTGGAGAAACCAATCCTCCAAAACGGTGAAGAGGTTACCCACTTTTCCTGGGTAGGGATTTCTTTGGGGGAAACCAGGTATGCCGTTATGCCAGCAGTTGTGATCAGCCTTGTTTCTCACACTGACCCCCTGAGCTCCAGAACTGTTGGCTTCACCGCCGATCTCACGAAGTAACCAAGAGGTGCAGGAGAATCTTAGGAAGTTGACAGCCAGCCAAGCGGTACTGATGTGCACATGAGAACATGCTAGTCGACACGTTGAGGTTGCTGAACTGATTTCGACCATGCATATACCAGGAGTCACGTTCGACGGGGTGGTGGCTCGTCCCATCCAGTGAGTGGATGTGACAGGGGCACCCCAGGGTTTCATTAAGCACCCCTTTGTGACTGCTGGTAGAGACATGTTCTAAACATGTTTTAAGTCAGTTGTGAGGTTGACAGGACCTCAGGATTCTGAACTTGTTCTGCAGGATTCGGAGAAATGGACACGTCGAGGGCACCCCCATCCACAGGGATTGGCCCTTACTGTGATCGTCGGGTGAGTCTTTTCTATTTGACAGCTCTATTATTTTGGCCACCAGCGCTATCTATTGCTGCGTAGACATCCTCAAATTTAATAATTCAACCAGGTAAAACCCCTTCACGAATTGACAACGCCTTTACCGAGCCCCTGAAAACCCCACGCTTCAAATACCAATCCTCAAAACAGCTTCCCTCAAACGACCGTTTTCGACCAGCCGACTCACCAAGACAATGGATGTCAGACCTGATCAAAAGAATCTACAGTCTCAGAGTAGATGGCACCCGACTTCTAGACAGGGGATCCACTACTAAACCACCGACCTTGGGGTAACTTGTGCCATTTCTCACCTCTCAATCCACTATACGGGGCCACCCAAAGACTCCATCGGCATCCAACGCGGATCAACGCGGCCGCCGCGGCCTACGTCGTTGATTTGAGGTGTCAATGAAGTGACATATATTCCAGTTCCATTTGGCGTGTCTGGTGTCTGGGAATTGGCTGTACACGACCCTCGCCAGGGTCTTCCCTCATACGCACCAATCAAGCAACCAGTAGTGCACCAAGGCCCTCCTCATGCACCAAGGCAATCCAAGGCACATACTGATATCCGCTTTCAGAAGCTCCGGGATCGCCAGCGACTGGCAGCAGGAAGCGAGCTCGGTCTCCAGTGGCATTTTTCGCTCTGTTTGGAAATCTCTTGGGGTTTGGAGAAGATGGAATCATCTGTATGGGTGTTACTTTGGGTGTACAGAACTGACCATCTCCCAGGAGGACATCGGCCATCTCAGACGGCCGCCCTTTTTCTGGAGGGAGACCCCATTGGTGACCTGTGATCGGCTCCTGAAAATGCCGCTTCAATCAAGTATGTACAATGTAGTATAGATCATAATATTAGTAGATCGTAGTAAGATTTAGTAGTATATCGCGCCTCTAGAATTCTGAAACGACCACCAAGTTGGAAGAGTTCTCCATGCAACAAACAACTCTTAAAGTTTGCATGAGCATGCAAACACGCGGAGCTTGATGGAGAAAATCCAGGCGTTGTTACAACATGAGTAAAAAGGGTGTATACTGGACTATAGAACAAACGCAGAAAGACCCAAAAAGGATCAAAGAGACCTAAGCCTAAGATGGTCTAAGTATATATATGTGGCATATGGCATATGGCTTGATTTGTGGTGCGGTTTGTCGGGTTCTAGTTCTGACCCAGCATCATGCGGTTGGTCGGGGTGCGGCACCAGAATTGCCAGAGCATGTAAGGCTGCTGAGATGTGCCTACTTTGCATGCAATGTAGAAATTGTATGAATACTCATTGCATCTCCCCGTAATTCTACAAGTACAAAGCATACTGAGTACTGTCTGTAACCATACCGTAACCACACAACTGTGCCACACAACCAACGGTTTCATCAGAAAAACCCACCAAAGTCACCAAACACCAGCCGCCGCCGTGGAGAGGAACCCGCGTCGACCGTCCGTTCCCTGCGGAACTCACCGTGGCGGTCACCGTCCGCGGTCCGTCGTCGCTCGCGAGGACTCGGCCTCCACCAAGGGCTTCGCGGAGTAGGGCACCGAGCCGTTGGGTGGATAAAGCTGGCGTTCATCGATCCTGGCGCCGGTGGTTTTTCGACGGCGGAACCGGTGGAAGGCGGTGGCGGTGGCCGGAACCAGGAGAGGAAAACCCAGATTTGACCAGGAGAGGGAAGCAAGGTCTGTTGGAGAGCATCCATGAGGTTTCTGAGGTCTTCGGTTCGAAGTATGAACAACATGTCCAAACCCAAAGGATGAAGAAAACATAAGAAAACGTCTTGGACAATTTTTGATGCACATGTTGGGCTCTATCCCTTCAAGTAAGCAGCTGCACTGTAACTCTGGGCCTCCTCTATGCTTTGTTGGGTGGTGTCCGAACCTCATTCAACTGCCCAATGTTGTCTCAAAATCCTCAACATCCTCCTTAATTAAGGTTCCAAAGCGATGAAATGATTCATGTTGTCGTCTAAAACTCATACAGTAACCGTCAAGGCCCAGTTCTCCTGGACATCACACCATTCCATCAACGATGAACCAACCCATGTTCTCCTGCCGCCTCTCTTCGGCCTGGCCACGGTTTCCACGGTTTACCCCCACCCAGTCGTCCCACGCTCCTCAAGGCCATGCAGGGCAAAAAAAGGCCAACGCCAAAGAGTATGACCTCACGGCGAGGAACGATGTTTGATCATCGATCTGAGCTGTTTTCAGACTCCAAGCTGTATCCAGAAATGAAGATGAACCTGTTTCCACCGGTCAGGTACCTCACTGTACTGTGTATATTGATTCAGATTCATTGCAATTTATGATCTTGGTGGGGAAACCAATCCCCAACAAAGTTATAAAGCTCGTCCACTTTGGAGTCCTGTGTCAGGCAGATCCGGGGTCCACTCAGCCAGATCGTGATTGGTCACTGCTTTCGTCCAGAGTATACAAAGCAAATCTGAAGAAGAAAAACACATATGCCCTGCCCGCTAGGCAAATCGTTTCCAAAACAGTTCTTCTTATGTTTGTTTCACCCCAAGCGTAATATTACGCGGCTATACAAGTAGCATGCACTTCCCACATTATTCGGTCTCTTCTCCCCCGAAATCTCCCAGGTTGGATTTGGAGCTTTTCGCAAAGCTCCGAGGCACAAAAGCCACGCAAAGCACCGTGGTGACCCGCCGCAGCATGGACGGACTGCACCAGGGCGTCCTGGTCGTGAGAAGCGCAGCGCGGGGCAGGGATGACCGGATGACCTTGGGATGGATACCTTTGAGGCGTGAAGGCGCTGCGTGTGGGCCCTGCACATTCTGGGGAGAGGCAAGAGAACATGAAGTACAGCGGCCGAGATCAAGATCTGTATGTACGATAACTTGGATGCAAGGAAAATGCACCAGCACAGCGGCGAAGGGTGGAAGGATGGTGATGGGGCAAACACATCACATACCCTGACACGACCAGTCTGGGACTGGCATAGATTGACGGATCAGTTGGGGAGTAAGGAATATTTACTCAACTAACATCTTAAAAACCATCCCCAAGGATTCCAGTCTCATGGATTGTTTGGAATAGTTAGACAAAGTCGAGTCATAGCCACACACACATATGTGGCTACACACCTTCTCCGAGTGGGGAGTGGGAATCGAGTGGTACATGTCTTCTTCCCCATCTGGTGCATGTGTTCCGTCCACGGATCCGTCCTGGAAACCACGCCCAGGAAGAACCAAAAAACAAAAAACAAAGGTAAACAATGGCAAATGGCATATTCGGGCTTCACCGGTCAGGTGCATCTTCATATAGTCATCTTGATGCTTTTGGAGAAGCAAACAAACAAGAACAAAAAACACAGGTTAAACTGGTAAACAGTTCTTGACCGGACAAATCTGCTCCAGTTCCCCACGCTGGTCTGTTTCATCCGCGACGGCCCAGTCAGTCTCAGCCGAGCTGTGTCCCAGCCCTTTGGCATAAATCAGTCTCTACAAGTCAATGACCTGTACTGAAGTTGGCTCAAGAATTTAAAATAAAGGACCAGTTTGTACTGGGTCTTTGGAGTTGTAGGGGGTTCTTTCCTCGCCTGGCACTCGAGTTGGGTAGCTCCGGCAAACGGATTCCCAGAGACCTAGGAGGCGAGATGGAGCGATTCTTCCACGCAAAGCAACCTGAGAGATTGGTGCGTTCTTAGGAGATTTGGGATCTGAGGGCCTGAGGGTCGGAGAATCAACTTGGCTGGTGATCCAGTGATGGTCGGAATGTGGAGGAATCCACCTTCCCATCGATTTGAATTGAAAAAGCTCGTCTGATTAAGGGTTTGATTCATGAATCAAGAGTCTATACTCTCCATAATTCCAGATTGCATAATATATTGCGTATATGATTGCATTTGTTTATAACAACACAGCACAGCACCAACTGAAAGGGTGTTGTTGGTGTCTTGTTTTTCACACTAGCGCTACCATCCCATGGTCACACCGCCGTCCTCTCTTCCGTTCTCGTCTCGCTCGTGCGTCGTAAGGTGCGAGATGGTGGAGCAAACGCAAAAGACGCTGAAGCAGGAGAAGCCGATGTCCAGCTTCCTAGGGCGTCCAACGATGGAAGGCCATGGAAGGCCTGCTGAACGCTGAGGAAGGAGAAAATCGTGGATTACTTGGTCCGATTGACTCTGAGGAGTTGGTGGCAAAACATGACCATTCCAACATATTCCAAATAGCCTGGTCACAGGAAAATGCCCACGTTGGGGTGTCCCAAGCACATCGAAGAATCTGGTCAATGCAGTCCGAGGTCTGTAGGTAGTAGGTCCGTCACCCATTGCAAACCTGGGCCATGTCCACCTGCAGGCCATCCGGTTTCCGGTTTCCAAGTGCTTCCACGTCTGCGGGCCCGATCTATCCCCACACCTCGTGGTCTTTCCGGGTCAACGACCGCCATCGTGTGCCCCGCACAGTGCGGGTTGCCTGGTCCCACGTCCCGGCCCGGGAAGACCTGAAACTTCAGCCCCTGCTCAACCTGCAGATGCTGCACGAGTCTAAAAGAAGGGGCATTTGCTACAAGGGATTGATCTTCACACAGACTCAAGCCAGTGGAATAAACGTGAGGTGGAGAAGTGACCAACAACAACACACAAATGTATATATATATATATTTATATATTCTTTAGGGTCCTGCGGTACTAAGTGGCCCAGCCAAGCCACGGACCAAGCAAGTGCATTGAACCATTTTTACTTCAAAAAGACCGCTTTCTCGCGTGGCGACCAGGAGTGTAGGGCACCCTGCGGCACCGGGTGGTGTACTTTGGGAGAACTGGTGAGGGACGTAGTGGGCAATAGGAAAACAGGAGGATAATGTCCTCCACAAATTCTCAGGCTTTTAGCTTTGTTCGCCAAGGAATACACACAGTTTCGCTGTACATAAACGATATTAAATGGATGCTGATGCATCAAATCAATTCTCAAGTAATTATTCTCAAGTTGTTCACATCCAATAGATTCCAATAGTATCTCCGTGTATCTTCTGTGACATCCGCACTAGGACACTGTCCAAGTGTCGCAGCAGTGAGGATAAGGGAGCCATTGTCCAAGAGCCGCACCAAATGGACCAACAAGATGTAGGCAAACATGTCTGGGCCTCAAACAACAATGAATGGTCTGGCCATGGGTAACAAAAATACTCAGCGTGCCAAGTACTCTTGGGGCTTTGGTTGCAGGAGGATGGGCAATCAAGAACGATTCAATAAGCTTCTAGCTTGAAGCATCACCCTGGGTCTCAATATCATCTCTGCTCAGATTCTCATGGGAGGTTGCTAGAAAAATGAGGTTTTCTTGGTGCTTCCCTACTCCAAAACCTCCGACTTCCAGGCATCCATGCCCTCTTCACTCCACTTCGACCAGCCGAACCCACCCGCCGGGGTTCGATGAAGCCGCCAGCGACCCGCTTCGACCCGTTGTTCGACCCAGAAACACGCCCACTTGGAGATGCTCTGGACGACAAGGATGCACGTTCGTGAGATCATCACCTCAACACAAACCCTGTGACATCCAGACTGGAATAGGCCTAGCTCCTGCCTACCACCCCAGTGGAGGCAAGCATGGCAGTCCCACAATGGAGTGCTTGGGGAAAATATTGAAGAAAAGCCACTGCTGAATGCAGAACAAGCGAAATTCTGGTGTGCTCTTCTTATCAAAGCGACGCCCACTCATCACCCCTCTTATTCGAAAGGGTGTCTTCAAAGTAGGTCCAGGTCTTGTAGACTGGAATATTTGCCGATCTCTTAGGTGATTTTAAGATGTCTATCCGGGTCAATGTACGATAGACATTCCAGTCCCAGGCCTTTTTGTCGGCGACATGTGGCAACATGTTTCTTCGTTTTAACCTTTCAGCCTGCCTTTCTTGCCATACCTGCAGGTAGTACTCAGAAGGATCCGTAGAGGTCTATCCCGATTCTCGTCCCATGTGCTGCTCGAACACTAGTCGAATACAGTCAGGTACTCTTTGTGAAGGCTGGGCCCCATTGTAAGTAGTCTTTGAGGTATTTCGGAATGAAAAGCAATGGCACAACTTGAACTCAAATGACATGTGAAGAAGAGGCTCCCTCTTCCAAGCATCATTTCCGAGCACAACCATTCAGCGTCCAGCTAGCAAGGGAGCAAATCGTGTAAAACCCCCTGTGTTCATCCTGAAGAAAGACCTCAATTGGGCTTGGAGCACACCTAGCACACCTCACTCTATTATGAGCCTCATATGAGACTCATATGGTTTTGGGTGTTGTGCCAGTTCGTCTCATCAAAAAGGATTCAAGAAAGGCTCAGACCTGGTACCTTCACCGCTCCTCGGGCGGGTGGTTCGCAACCTGGAAGAGCTCAGTTCTGAGCTACAGGCTCACCGAAGAGCCATGAGAGGTTTGCTTTTTGTGGATTCCTTGTACTGGGTCCAAAAGCACTTCTTGGATCATCCATGCAACAACTGGTCACTTGAAAGGGTTTGTTTTCTGTTGGTTTTCCTTTGTTGGATGCTCATTCCTTACAAAACATAGACATAGCCACAAATCAGGAGGCACAAATACAAATCCCTCCTTTGGGCTGAGGAGATTGTTTTTGCATGTTACTGCATGCTCTTTTCGATGATCAACCCAAGTCACGCACCCACGTGCACTGGAATACCTGCACAGGCCGCTTTTTCGGATAACGCATGCCATTTCACTCTTTGTCATGCAGTGTGCAAAGAAGGGGTCTGGACGAAGGATGGCAGATCGGGATCCAAATCTTCCAAGAAATTAAACCTCTCGCATGGCAGAACCGTGTCTGTGTAAGACATGTGCAAGAGAACCGTGCCAATCCAAAATCACCCGAATCAAACACACCATGGCAATCCACAGTTTCACCGAGCTCATCAGAAACGCTTGGCCTCTCAGAGGGTGTTCCTGAAAAAACAAGAGTTGCCCAACGACCACCGTCATGGGCTTCAAACGATGTTCGCCTGCGATGTCCATGACTCTTGACCCATCTAACGATGTTCATCCATGCTCCATGTCGTGCCGAAGTTGGAGAGTTTTTTGGGGATGTTCATGGATGTTCCATGTCCCTCTCCATCCACTCACCTTGGTCCAAAAAGCCACCTTAAACATCGAACTCCTGGGACTTTAGGAATCTGTTGGCATCTCAGCATCTCATCACAGTGAAACACTGGTGTTTTTTTCCGACGCTTTCGTCAAAGGTCGGTGGTCGTTTTTTGATTTTTGATTGAAAAAGTAAGGCGCAAAAAGGCAAAAGAATCGAGTCAGTCTCCAACATGAGTCCAATCCTCAAAAAACATTGAGAATTCTGCAGAATAACTATCTTAACACGCATTGCTATAGGCTATAGAATTCAAAATTTATCCTTCATTGACTATTGACTCTCCAGGCCGCCCAAGGACTCAAACTGGGTTATCAATCTTGGAAACTGCTTGCACTCAGCAACAGTGGATCATCACAATGATATTATGCTCAAATCTCTCAAGGTTAAGTTGTTGAGTTCCTCAGTTCAGCTCAGGAGATAGGTCCTACAACCCGAGTTCTCGATCTCCCCGAGTTCCTCCCATCCATGTCCCGTCGGGTCCACATCAATCACCTGCCCGATCGCCTGAAGGCCTCCCCGAGCGCCAGCAGCAGCAACTTCAGGATGGGCACCACGACCGCATAGAGCACGATGAGCACGGCCCCCGTCCTGTGCTTAGAGCACCGGACTGGTGAACCCCCGCCCAAGCTGCCCCATCCCGGTCGGTGATGGAGGGATCGGTTCAGAACTCGGTGTTCACCGGGTTTAGAACCGGGCGAGGATCCAAACCCAAAGCCATCTGGAACCAACATCGGCGTGAGAACCCGCAGGACGGACTCGTCCGCTTTGTGGGCGTGGGATGCTTTTCACCAGGTCCTCCTCGGTTCACGTTAAACCAGGTCCTCCTCCACTGTTTTGAAGTGATCAAACAGTTGGTGGGGAAATGTTTCTGGTACACAGTATACAGTCCAACATGTATACAACATCTTCCCTTCCACATCAACATGGCTGGAGTTGGAGACCAGGTGAATCCTCTGCTGTCCCAAACGATCGTCTCCAACCAACCCTCCCCTTTCGTCGAATGGAAGTCGCATCGATCCAGGGGACCGGTCAACTATGCCTATACAACTGGTCAACTATGGCAGCCACCCCAACTGGTCAACTATGGCATTTGTCAGACAGGTCGTATCGACTTTTACAAAGGTCGTGTCGTCCCCCAACTGGTCAACTACCAAACATCGCGACCACCCAACGACGCTTTTCGACGCTGAGAACGATGCTGGCACCGTCGCCTGGATCCGGTGCGGTTCAGCAACTCCACCAGGCCAGTGATGGTCTCGGTGCAGGCGACGTGGCCCTTCTCCGGCTGAACGTCGATGCGGTGCCCTAAGACCTCAGCAAGAAGAGGTCCGGCGACCGAGTGACTGGTAGAATCTGGACATGGAATCCGAAATATATTGATAGTACTTAGAATTGGGGTCCGGTCTATCCCATGCAGTGGATGATGGTGAGGTTTTGTTTCTCTAAGATGCTGATAATTGCTTACCGTCGGTTACAGTACAGGTAATGGCAATGGCACAAACCCTAAGATATATAGATTGGTTCCAGTGAGTATTGGTTTTCAAACATACGACGAGTGGAACATGCCACTTTGATCTAAACATATATATCTAAATCTAAACCATGTAATGTAATAAACCCCCATACGAAAAGGTTCTACAATCTACCCTTTCTCACCGACTGGGTCTGTCATGATCCAGTCTGTCCCCGGTGCTCACGGCACCAGCCGGTCTGGATCCACACTGCCGTTCAATCCCAAAATGAGCTTCGCCAAGCGGCGTTGACAACGATGTTGAAGCTGAAAATCACTTGCGTCAAGCCAGGAACCAGCAAGACCTCGAGTTTTTGCGCTGAACAGGGGTGGGATCTACTACGGCTGGCTTGAAACGTGCCTGTTCATATACGGACCGTGTCGGAAACAAAAAAAGGGTTCCCGGATACCCCTTATATACTTGGAATGGGCTGCGGACATGTAAGGGGTATGTTACCGGATCAGAAAAACTAAACGACTTCAAAGATCTCCCCGGAAGATCTATACCAAGGCTGTGGGTCGATCCTATCTGATTTTTTTGTGTTCAGCCAGCCACCGCCCCTAGCCCTACAAGTAGCTACGAGTCACATGACTCAGGGTAGGGATTCATAAACCATCCCATGTGAATTAAAAGACCTCTTCATGTGGGGGTCTCACAAGTATCAATCCAGTCATAGCTTCACCCTGATCATGGCAAATTCCCTCTTCCGATGGAAGCAACATGCAAATCTACGTATTATAGTATCATGTCCCATGTTCTTCCGAACATCACAGGACAAACCCGACCCATCAGTCTCGAATCCGATCCAAATTCAGGGTTTGGAAGATGTCCAATTCCTAAAAGTCCTATTCATAAAGAGGTTGACCATTTCTATCCCTTTGTGGAGGCCCGGCTGCTTCTTCTATCCTATCTGTTACGTTGGCGGCTTGTTCTTGTATCCTGAGGTCTGTGCAACAATGGTTGCAAAATGTTGTAAAACAAACACTTGGACCATCTTTGCCCAACTTCGGTACCTGAAGAACCCACACAGCCACAATGCTGTGCACTGTAACGAAAAGAACTGCAGGCAGCAAAAACACGCGGAAAACCATGTTCGATAGACTGACTGGTGCTTAGTAGGGAATGAGGGAAGTTTGCCCCCAATAGAGATTCCTTTGGATCCAGCCACCCTCATTCCCTACTTTCGTCGCACCAGTCAGTAGATTCAGTGACTAGATGCGCCTTGGATACCCAAGAAGGTTACTGGATGTTCCTGTGAAGATGCGGAGGGCGACGGTGTGAGGAACTTGGAGGACGAGGACGGAGGGATGTGGACGTGAGGGATGTAAAGAACGTGAGTGATGTAGAGGATGTTAAGAAGGTGGACGTTGAGGACGCGAGGTTTTTTTTCCTTCCTGGCGAAGGCGTGCCGCATGTCCATGGCCAAAGAAAGTTCTGCCGGCAGGTGCCCCCCCCAAAAAAAGATTGATCCGCAATGTCCCCACATCGATGAAGGCTCACAGAAGGCTCACCCCCATTCTTTCTTGTCGATGGACACGGAAGAAAACGCCGCAAAAACTGAGCGGATTCGACATGCCGGTCGACACGGGCCAACACGGGCGACGGCGGGCCACGTAGCTTGCGATCAGCATGGCGCTCGCCCAGAAAGGTGAACGTGCCTGGAAAGGTGGCGTGCCAGGCAGGGCGAGTTTTTGAGACCCTCAAGCATAGGTCAATATGATGTCAATAATATGCTATAGAGCGTAGGTAAAGGCCTGAAAATGCCCTTGGAGGTGTTGAGGATTGTTGAGGATTGATGTTGTTGTCCTTGACATGAAAGGATTTGAGGTTCCATGTTCGTGCCAAGAAAGAACATGAGATCCTATGAGATCCTCATTCATGATCCATTGCTTTCAATTTCCAAAATTTGTATATAAACATTACAGTACAATATAGTTACACTCCGATGAACACATCACATGGAAGTGGAACACCCAATGTTGGTAGAGGAAAGTTGTCGTCTTCAGGGACTATGAATTTTCCACTTCCAAGTCTGACTTGGAGGGTAGACCCTAAAGCACCATTGCTCTGCAACCCTTCAGCCTTCATTGTTGAAGTTGTAGAGATTCGGCTCCTCCACAAAGTAAGTGGAATTAGATGGAATTAGATGGTGCGCACATAGTATGTGTGCTGTATCTGCCGAAGTTTGTGGACAACACCCAAAGTTTGTGAGAAGCCATTGGCTTCTTGGAAAGGTCACCAGATTGGACTGGCAAAAAACAGGAATCACCTCCCTCGAGGTGTGTATACATTGCACCATCTTTCCAAATGCTTTGGAGGCGGGCACCCAAATGGGCACTTGAGCGAGCTGAGGAGCTCGCCGTCATCGTGCATCCGAATGCATCGAGCATGTACGGCCCAAGGCTCTCAGCCCCAAAATCATCTCAAAAAAGATGTCCACGACACATCCAACGGCCAAAGGCTCTTCCCTCGTCAAATTTATCAAGACTTGCCGGACGTCCTCTCACCAGAATTCCTTTGGACACTTGCTGTGGACTTGCTGCGGACCCAATGCTGACTTGCTGTTACCGTACCCTGAAGCTCTAACTTGTTCTTGATCTACAGTCAAATGAGCTTGGCGCCACGCTCCAAATTCTGATTCTGTCCTTCAGTGACTTTAGTGGGTACAAGGATTTAACATGGGATGATGTATTTATCTGCGGTCCACCGCCGCAACATTTCGCAAAACTTTGCAAATCAATGCATAAACCCAAACAACTACCCAAACAGCCGAAAAGCGTGAAACGCTTTTCAGCAGGCCTGGCCCAACACCATCTTTGATATTTGGCCGTTTGGGTGTGTGTTAGAATGTATTCGAAGAGTCAAGCCTGCTGGGCCCATGGGTCTTGCTTGCATGCCTTTCTTCCCTATTGGTCGGGTCCAATTGGAAACTCTTCCTGTGTTGGACACCGGAAGAAACGCCGCCCCCCGGGCAAGGCGCCTGCGGCTGAGACAAGCGATCGCATTCCACCTATGGAGAGAAGCAAAGATGGCTGGTTTCTGCGGTCTAACAGGATCAGACTCAGGATCAGTTTAGTAGGTCTTTCCACCAGTTGGGGTGCTTGAATCAAAAGAGGCCCTCCGTTCGGGAAATGACCTACACAAAGGAGTTAACCTAAGAATCCCTGGGCCCTCCATTAGCCAAATAGCGGGAAGTGTCTTGTTTTCCCCCGCTGGGCCTGTGGAAGAATCGAAGCGAGACGTCTACACACCATGCAGTCACACCAATGGTTGAAGCACAACTAACCCAGTGAGGTCATATTGTCTAACAAACGCCTCAGCGGCAGTGTGAGAAATCACGCAGAGGTTGATGAGAATCAGGCACGGGCACGAATGTGTATGCGATCGTTTGCAGGAGGGCGAGCAGTATAGTTTTAGCTCATGTTTCTTTGTTGCTTAATGCTAGGGCATGGAATGTCAAAGAATGAGTGCCTGGAACAGGCCAAGTTCCACAGGCAAGCTTGGGTTGAAGCACTGCTCTGCAAAAGTGAACCAAACACCTCAGAGAAGCCTTCTTGAAGGCTATTCCTTTCCTCTACCAACCCTTGATCAACTCGAGAGGCAGTCAGCCTCCAAGAGATATCCCAAGGAGGTGGCAATGGTCACCAGCAAAATGATGAAGAAGACCACCAGATTCACCTCGCCAGTCCGAATGATGGTCGGAGAGTGCCGAAGGATCAATCTGGGTGCGTTGGAACAATGTTGGAAAATGCAAATCCTCCAACCTTCAGAGACTCAGATTACATGTTTCCCCTGATAGCTGCAAGCTATAATGGGCTTCTTGCTTCTCAATCGTGTGGCTCTGGATCGGCGTCTGGTTGTTTCATGTATATAAACATGTAACAAAAAACACATGCAATCCTCCAAAGCACTTGGCTTTAGTATATGCTTTAGATGGCTAGGGTCGGAGGTCTGCCATTGTCTCACACCCACGCGATCATCGTCAAATCAAGAGGGACACTGCCTACCAGGAGAGAGCCAAGGAAACATGGGATCCACACGATTTGTTGAAAGGACGGTATCCGTGACCCTGCTTTTCTACCAGGCTCCTATAAATCCTCCACCAGTCAATCAAGATTACCAACCATTTGCTAGAGTCGGGCTAAGGTATGGCTAAGTATGGTTACTGCCCAAATGCTCCAAACAGGCCTTGGTCCCTCAAAACCATAGGAATTTGAGGGTCCGGACCCCGCCATATGAGATATATGGCACCTGCTGAACGGAGGGTCAGCGTCTGGGTGAGTTAAGTGAACTCGCCAGCGTCCGTGGGGTCCCAAGATTTGCCAAGCGTGGCTACTCGCACCAGACTCATCTTTCTTCCATCCTTCGCTTTTGGAACCATTTGATGTCCTTGTCATCCTCTTGTTTTTTTTAGATCTTCCAATCACTCATTTTTCTTTGCTCCTTCTCCGATTGACCCACAGGGACACGTTCGCGGACTTCGGCGACGCCACGATGCACAACGCCACGGATGGTCGCCTGGGTCATGGGATTGCCTTCCAGCTCGGGCGGCGCGTTGAAGTCAGGCTGTCGCAAGCCGGCATAGACCTGGAGCGGAGGTGCGCAGTGCGGATCTGGACGTCCGCGGGAAAGGGCGGAGCTGGACCTGGACTGTTCATGTCTTTTATCGCTGGATCGTGTTTCACGGTCTTTTTCAGGGGCAAAGGCTGAGATTGGAGGGTGCCACGAATTGGTTTCCAAGGCTTTTGGCACATGGACACAGCTTAAGATGTTGCAAGGGAAAGGGTCTTCATAGGGGTTGATTGTGTTATATATATATATATATTGTGTTCCATGTCTGTTGGCTTTGTCAGGTCTTTTCGGTCGCGTTTCACTAATCCAAGGAAAAGATTTGGATTCTGCGTCTGTTCAACTCTTGCCAAACAGAAGTGATGTATATAAATCTGGTCACTAGAAGCATGCCACGGCATTGAGGAAGCACTTCCCAGTTGAACAATCCGACGGGACTGCCCTACTGACGCCCTGCTGCAAGAAACAATGACAGCATGGGCAGCATGGGTATGAATACCAGGGTATGTTTTAAAATCATGGAGCCTTCTTGCATTGACCATGGGTCAAGAATGGTCTCCTCGATGATGTCGAGATTTGCATGGATTCTGTTGGTGTCTCCATATGTGTCTCCCATCTAATTTGACCACATCCTCATCTGTAGATCATGTATCCCTAAAACTCCAACTACCTCCTGAGAAGGTGGTTGGGGTGAGTTTCGGGAGTCTAACCACCTTCTGAAGATATGGCTGCAGCCCTAGGGTATGAGCATGGTCCATCTCGTCACACAGATTTGTGGATTAACCTGGAAGACCTCGAGCTTAGGACCTTTCCAACCCTGATAGGTCCCTGTATCCCCTGTGGCGTGGAAAAATACCTTTGGACAGCCTAATAAATAAACTCCAAGTGGTCCTAAGTAGTGCGCAACAGCAAACTCTACCATGTTAATTTTGACACTGATTATGATATGTGAATATATATGATACGCAACAGCCAATTCTCTACCAGGTCGACCAGGTCTCATCGACAGCCGGAATCACCCTCGTGTTCGGGGCTAGACCTTGGGGGATCTCATCTTGAGGTTTCCGCCGGATGAGTCATCCGCACTGCAACATCCCAGAAAAGCAAGCAGTCGGGCGCGCCAGGCGAAGCATGGGTTGACAAGTGCCATGTACAGAACCATTGAATTAAGGAACAAAATAGTCTTCCGGACTTCATAATCAAGTGCAAGTGACTTTGTGGCTACAAACAAACCAAACCGCCTGTTTCACTCAGAACCCCCTTTCCGCCCAACCTCATGTAATCGACTTGGCCGTCCTTGATAAGTCTCCGTCTCCCTCCCGCTCCTCATGCATGCCCTTCTCAAAGGGTTTCAGCTTCTGGTCCATGGTCGCTTTCATCTTCCCTGGACGAGGTCCATCGGCCATCGTCGAGCGTATACTCATCCGTCGTCGCCCCACCCGACATGCGACATGGACGAAGGCCGACCGAGAAGCCGAAACCGATCTATGGGATCTGGAATAGTTTGCATACAACGAAGTCGCACATGGGGTATGGAGTAGACAATGGAGTAGACGTATCATGGCGTATCTCTTCCACACATGAAACATGATCTGGAAAATCTTCTTCTTCTTGCACCTGCCCCAACGAACCCATTCGTTTTCTGGTGGTTTACTGGCAGTGCCATGAAAAGGCTCGGGCTCGACTGAAGCGGTGTTGGTCGTTCGAATCGACCATCTGAAGGCATTTCGGCGGTTGTTTTCTTCTCCACATCAATGAGATCACATGAGATCACCTCAATGAGATCATTGGGGGAGGGTCAGCAGTCAAACCCCAAATCCTTTCGAAGTTCAAACGCTCAGCAGCAGTTATTTCTGGTTGAAAGACATCAAGCAAAAGCTTTAAACGGTATAGAACTGCAAATTGGGCTTTTCATGGCTTTTCCATACTATGCGTGAGATAAGCTAACCAGGCTTACAAGCACTCTCACAATGATCAACCGCTACCAGTACCATCATGTTTCATCCACCATGTCTCGGTAACACCGAATCAACACCGGTTGCTTAAGCCCTTTCAGATCGCCGCATCTTCTACCCAGCAGCCCATCTGCTTCTCCATGCTGTGGATGCCTGGCCTGAGCCACCCATGAGTGGGAGCAGGTCAAGACTAAGTTCCCCAAGATGCAGCAATTGGCAGTTTCAAGGACCCACAGTCGAGGCCGTCAAACATGAAGCCAATTTGGTGCCCTTCTCTCAAACGCAAATGTTTAAAAATACACACATCACACAACCTACATTGGGTAGTCTGTTGTGAGGACTCCTCTTAGTTAACCCTTGAAAGAGAACCACGTATGCTTGCTCTGAATGCATCCGTTCCCTCGTCCCGCCAAGGCACAGCCAGTCCAAAACACTCGGCATCTTGACCTTTGGTGCGGGAGGCCTCGGTGCAAAACTTTGTCACTGGCTATCCCACGGAAGCCATGACGAGCATGGTGGAGTTGTTTCCGGAAAAGGGAGCACCCCTCGGAAAAGGGAACTCAACATGGGACCATGGGTGGTTTGGGGTGTGCAGATAGCGCCAAGCACTGGGGATCTGTGAGTTCCAGTGATATGATATGAAATATGGGCGGTCTTCAGTCTTCCGGAAAGATTTCGGATACCCTGCAACTCCGAGTAGCAAATAGTTGACTCTTTTCCCATGAACTGGACCTCCCAAACATCTGTTGTGCCTGATAAGAGATTCATTGGTGACTTTCTTGGTTGCAACTGCCCTGAGTGGCCTGAAGCGGTTCTCTATGGCGGTTCTGATGCCATGCCCGCAGGAGCTTCGCCGCTTCGCGGGAAGCGGCAGAGGTTCGCGGCGAGAGCATCTCTTCACAGCGAGAAGTGGCTGAGGGAAGTGGGACGGCCGTTGGCTGGGATTTGCTATCCAGGAACCGGAAGAACGGATTTAAAAAAACAACATATTCCTGAGAAGGGGACATAAAACCAAGCAAATCCAGGCCCAAAGCTGACGGGCCAAAGGACCTTGTGCTTCCGGTCGTCTTGAAAAACGGATGGAACCTCTCTGGAAATATGGAAACAACACTCTGAATAGACATATTTAAGATAGATTTGTATTTGCTGCTGCTACTGGTAGTTTGCATTGCTATACAAATTATTCTCAGTTGGCCCATTAATCCACAGTCTCTTCATCTCGGCCAGCCCCAGTCTAACCAGTCTCAAAAACCACCGCCATCACGGGATCCCGTGCACCAACTTCCGTGACGTGTCCATCCCCTTCTGCGCCACAGCGTCTGGGTGGGCCGCTGCCCATTAAAACTCGAACCCCCACCGCAGGTGCAACAGTTCCTCAGACCAGTCGGTCGGACCAGTCGGTCGGTCCGCGCAGCTAGGGCGTGTAGCGGTCCGCATGGCCACATATGGAGTGACTCAGTCTGTGGACTCAGCCCATTAAGAATTAAGAAAGCCCAGCCCACCCCATTTGGATTGTAAACCGTCTTCTATATATGGGGGGTTGTTAATCAGCACGAGTACATGGTTTGTCACTGGCACAAACCGGACAACGGGATGACCCAAAAATCCAAAGCACACGGAACACGACGACAGGATCCTTTTAGCCGGTAGGGCCGGTAATGTGGGTCTGTTCATCCCATGGCACTGCTGAGACAACAAAGTCTATCCCTAGGGATCCGTTTTCGTACCGAACCTCAGGTACGGTGAGGACGGAGACCATTTATGTAGGTGCCAGGAAGGGCCCGAGTCGTACCTTCTGAGAAGGTATGTGGATCCCTAGGGTATGATTCGTTCAGTGCTTGGAGAACTCCCGTCATCTCAGGCCGCCGACCCGGCCATCTGGATACTCCCTGGAGACTCCCGACCCGGCGACCCGGCGGCCGTCGCGAGCCCTGAAAAGACGTATACTTTATGATTTCATGTTGATCTTTCTCATCACCTATATAGAGTGTAGGAAACCCCTGACTTAGTTTCATTCATCATGTTCACTCCAATTCATCATGCATTCATCGACAATGCAAATGGGCTGCGCTCAAAAGCACTGCAGATATCTGCAGGAGTGAACATGCCATGGCTTCTCTTTTTGGGGAAACCACCCACCCGCCGTTTTCGGTCCCTTCACCGAACGGTGTTCCACACCGTCGCTTTTTGGTGTCGTGCACGTGTCGTGCACCGGTGCACGAGTCGCGAGGGGTGGCCCACCATTGTTCCTTTCAAACCCAAACACGACCTATGGGACTGGCATATGTTCCAATCAGTTGGGGTGGTTCCAGGGGTCAATGTAGGCATATATGGCAGTCCCATGGAGTGTCTGGGAAAGGATGTAGTTCAAACCCCAGGAACCGTTTGACTCATGACGTGATTCCACCAGAGAAGGGACTTCCTGTGGTCTGTGTTTTTTTGTGCAACCGGTGGTCGAAGATGACAGCCAAGTGATGAGGAAAAAACCGATCTGATCGAACCTCCAAAAAAGGTCGTCTAAACACTTCAGGCTCCATGTTTGTCTTCCCGGGTGTAAACACTTCAAAAAAGAGAAAGGAACCACAACCTCTAGATATTTTCAACTCCACCTGAAACCGAAGGAAACCCAGGAAAACAGTTCATGGACATGGACGCATCCGTCAAATGGGATAAGCCACCGATAGCCGATAGCCATTATCCGACATCTCCGTAGACATTCATAGGTATAAACAAAGATCACTTTAAATGTCTTCAAATGTTGAACATGTTCTTCATTCACAACCAAACCCTATATATGATTCGGGCAGCCAAATCCTTTCTGGAACCCAGTTGGGCATCCAGAGGCATCGGGTCAACCGTGAAACAGAAAGGTCCCGCAACGGCATCCTCTGACCCGACCGCTCCGATCCTCTGTCCGAGTGTCATCCAGGGATCCTTCATCCCTTTCTCACAGAAGCTGGGATGCGCCTGGAAGGCTTGGCACGGGAGACGGACGTCGGGAAAGTCGAGCCCTTGATAGGAGCTGAAGGAGCATGAACAGTTCATTCGATGCGGTCACTGGAATATTCCATCCCTGACCCACAACGTTGTTGTGTTTTTGTCAGTCTTGCCGACCTGAAAATACGAGGGATTTGCTGCCGTTGCTCCTGGCACGGGTTGGTTCCTGTTCATTTTGTTCGAACTGCAATGGAGGCTCCCAACATTGACAAAACAAACATGCGCAGGGGACGAGCACTTTGCCAAACAAGTCGAGTTCTTTTTTTAAATGTGCTAGGGTTCTCGGGGAGGATGTGGCTAAACATCTGTTGATTAGAACACATGGACATGAACACGAGTCACGAGTCACCCTGCCGTCATCTGTTCATGCACTTGTCACTTGGCTCCAGCATACATCTGGGTGATAGGGGCTCAACAAGTTCAATGCCCAACAAAGGCCAGGCAGTTGCGGCAGAAAACACCACCAAAAGAGCTGGCAGCTGCAATGCGTTTCCACGTGTTCCACTGGGTCGGCCTTGTAGAAGTGACAAACCACGCCATCTTTGTGACAGTCCGGGTCCACAGGTACGTAGTTGTTACCTCACAGCCATTCGGCACAAACGTGCGGCAGACTGGTCTAGGTCGGAGCCTTGATACCCGAGCCACGATCGTGGCTCTCCATGTGTTGCACGGCATGTGATTGAACGACATATAACCAAGTGGATGTTGACCTGCATGGGTATATGACTCCTATTCTATGGTCATATATATTATTCTATAATACAAGTTTTTATAAAATATATACTGTAACCTCCACCCCACATCACCCCGTCCCTCCCCACATCGCATGGCATCAGCTATGATGCTCACTTTCGCTTATCGAAGTCGTTCTCCTCCCAGTCGCCCCGGTCGTGGCTGTCCAGGTCCACCGATACTTCCGTCGTGCCCTTTGTTGAACACCGGACGGTGCGCATCGGACGGCCGGAGAGGCCACATGGTGCTCCCGGTGCTCTGAGATAACCTTTGGATACCTTTGCCCGTAGAATGCAATACACCTCCCCAAAAAGAAGAACAGCCCGACTGCTGTAGTGGCATGAGGCTACCAACAAAAATGGCAACCTTCAAACAGGTAAGCCCATTCCAGGACTTTCCTGGTGAGCTGTTTCATGAATTGATCCCTCCTCAAAAAAAAAACTGAAAAACCCTTCGTCCCCTGCAGTGTCGGGTCGTTTTTTTGGGGGGGCCCAGTTCCACCTAGTTCAAGAGAGTGAAGCCTGCGGGTCCAGTTCCTCGCGTAGCGACCGGGTCGGAGTTTGTTTGACCGGGAGGCATGCAGTATATCCATTCGTCCAGCCAGGCGTGTCCTCGCAAGCCTGGCACGTTCTCGGTTCTCCGACATCCGAAAGCAGTTCGGGGATCCAAGATGCTCCCAAGAAAGGGAAAAATGCCTCCAAGAGATGCTTTTGGGGAAATCCTCCAAGATTTGTTTTGTTCTTGAAGAGATTCCACCATGAAAGGAATCCACCAAACAGAAGTCCGCTGCCACAAGAGGGCGAACTGACTCTGCCTCTGAGGAGTTTGTTGCTGTCGCGAAGACGGTGTTTCCCAGCAGTTCGGCCAGCAAAAGAGTTCGGCTGGCAAGGGCTATACCCACCATGGCATGAATCCCCCAGCCACGCGCGTGAAGGTGTCAAATGCTGTCAGTGGCTGCTTGGAGCGTCTGTGCCAGTCAGGCTCTTGATTGGTAGCTGAATCAAAGGTATTCAAGAATCCAACTTGAGAAGATGCCAGTCAGGCTCTTGATTGGTAGCTGCGTCCAGCAGGTATTCAAGAATCCGACTTGAAGTCCTTGTGACCACTTGATGGAATTGGTTTTCCAGCTCGCTGGGGCGACCTTGGAAGAAGCCTTTTTCAGCATCTGTCAGCCCCATCCGGGGCAGAGAGGGTGGAGGATGAAAGGGTTGGATCCTTCGTTTGCGAGTACTACAGTAAGTTGTGCATGATGTTTGCAAAAGAAAGTAGATCCTGTGGTTGCATTGACCTTTACTTTTGTTTGACCTCTGGATAGCTACCACCTAAAGTTCTATGATGCGATCTGCTTGCAGCTGCATGCCCCACTCCAAACGTTTCCTGTGAGCAAAAGCTGCAAATTGACTTTGGATCTCAATCACCCCAAGTGGAGTGACTGGAGTCCCAAAACGCTCCAGTTTCATCACTTGGGTGTGGCTCAAACAGGTTGCAGTCCGCTTTAGATACACTCCCTGAACTAGTCATGGAAAGTGGATGTTGTGGCCCCCTGGATGACCGTTGTCCTCTACAAACAGGTGGTTTTCACCTTCCATGAAGACTTCCAGGATTGTAATATATCTTTGTCTTTTTACCCTTAGACTTGGATTCTGGATGGTAACCTATCTGGGTGAGCCCTGCACCACTGACACTGGGGGTACATACTTGTGTCATCTTGTTTCGACACTCACCAGACTCACCACCCAGTACCAGCACCAATCCAGCACCACTAACCAGCGTTCGACTACACTCACCAGCACTAAAAATAATAGCAACAGGCAACCAGCACCACTAATCAGCATCTTGACCTATAAAGCTGCTTGAAAAATGTTGGTTCCTAGACCAGTAGTAGCTTGGAGGCCATTGCTATTGGGGTGGAGGCCATTGCTAGTAGGTTGGAGGCCATCGCTATTGGGGTGGAGGCCATCGCCAGTAGGTAGGAGGCCATTGCACTTGGGTTTTAAGGGACCAGGTCGCTCTCAAAGTTCGGGACAGCTTTCTCCGAGTTCCATGGAGTCTTCCCGGGCAAAAACACCATCATCTCTCAATCGATGTCCAAGAAGGACTTGAAGACCTGAAGGGGTTGAATACTGTACTTGGATGGACTGATTTGGTTGAAGTGGTTGAATACCTGTTGGCTATGGGGGGTGGAACGTGGTGGTGAAAACTGTTCGTTTGGATCCAATGGGATCCATCCCGCCGGAGTGTGTTGCGCCAAGGCTTTTCGCCATGGCTTTAGATTCTATCGACTCGAGTCTGGATTTTCTCTATATGAACACTCCAGCCCAACTAGAATTAGATGCACAACTCTCTCCAGCCCAATTCTGTGAACACCCACAGATCCAAGCAGTAGTTACCATCGACCTTTGAATACTTAGCCTTGCCGATCTAGTGACCTAGCCTTGCAGTCTTGCAACACGTAGTTATAGAGTGAATACAGTACTCTCTACAAAGGAAAGGAGATGAACAAAGGCTCAACCACACAGGACCCAGGACATGGCATCCACAAGTCACAGAGCCCGGAACCCAACAGTACGAATTAATTCCAAAGAACCTCCCATACTCCTCAGGTACTAAACATAAAAGGAACCTACTTGAGGATTGTCTAGTGTCCCCATCCTCGTCACCTCTTTCTTGAACTCTGCGAACGCCTGTGCTTTCCGGAACACACCGGCTTCACGCGCTCCGGGGCTGGAAAACGTTGAAGAAAACCATGCGTCTGAGGGATGGTTCAACCTCGCGACACGGAAGAAAGCAAAAACCTGGAGTATCAACAGGCGTGAAGTTCCATAAGTTATAGCGTGGAGTGTCTAATCCATGAGTCAGCCCTTGGAAGGTACTGGGAGCCATATCAGATCATCTGCATGCTACGACACATGTGGGAAACCCAGAAGCTCAAGGCCAATGGTGACGATGTGTGGCAACCACTGTTGCCGGCAAACCCTTGACTTGAGACTTGGGAGAAACAAAAACAACCCTTCCCAAAAACAGAACAAACATGGATCAATTGAGCCCTGCAACCCAATGCATTGCGATGCTTGCCACAAGTGAATCTTGGAGGGAGACTTCTTGTTGACAGTCATTCCAAAACATTGCAACATGCTGCAAATCTTGTCAACTATTCCAAGATTCTACAACTCATTCTACATGGTGGCACCCAATGCTTACAAGCAGTGTTTAAACAAACATGCATAAGCATGCCATGCAGCAGTATTGGAGCACAAAGAGACGGACAAACTCAAACTCAAACTCATTTCGCAGCTTGTATTTGATTGCTTAGGTTCAGGATGAGATACCCGGACTGGTCCAACGTTCAGGTTGGGAATCTTCCATGAGCCGAATAGTATCAGGAGCCTACCCTCATGCACATTCCTCCATGCATTGGAGGCGAAACAACCGGCACGTAATTGCGTAAGCCATGCAATCGATTGAAGACAGGAAACTCTCCCGTGCAAGTGTGACGGCGAATGACCAAGCATGGTCTCTGGACAACCCCCAGTTCATGTTGATGGACACGTCTTTGCCGCCTGCCGCCGTCCACCCTTGTACTTTTGGGAGCGCCAGAAACATTATATTATGGATGAAGTGCAGGGACAGGGTGGTGACCCTGTAATCCGGCTGAACTCCGGCGTCCCTGAACATGCTAGCTGCCAGGGATGGTTTTCACCGTTTTGGAACCGTAGACTGCAAGGTGAATGAAGCAATGCAAGTGTATGCAATGTTGGCGAAACATCGCCCCAAAGCCTGAAGCACAACAATTCTACAAGCCAACCCCGGTCACCCATGTTTTTATTCCTGCGGCCTTTTATGCTAATAGCAGCTGCTGCAGTGCTTGCTGGAGACACCGGCCTCGTCCCTTTCAGCGCTTCTCCAACTTCGTAGGGCGGATCTTTGACGGCCGCCAATCCAACAGCAAAACACCAGGTGTTCAATCCTTTTCCCTCCTTGCAACCAACATGGAAGTGGATAGCACCCCCTCTGTTTGGTATTCGGACCAACCATGGTCTTTCCAGGGGCCAATGAACGCACACATCATTGGAAAAGACCACCCATCATGTCCGAAAACATCAGCAAATGCTCACCTCTCGGCGTGCTTTAAAACCGCGCCCGAGCTCACCGTCTTCGGCCTGTCGCGCAGCGACGCAGTGCTCAGGCAACGTGGGCTTTACTAGGAGCCACCCTATACAAACAGTGGGAGAGGGAAACTCTCCGAAGAGGGGAGCCCAATATCTCTTGAATTGAGGGCTGTATGTCCCGCCTTGATATGGCGGGTTGACTTGAAACGTCAGTTGAATGGATTCTTGGATGTATCCTAGAGCGATCTCCACATTCTCGTCCTGAAACCTACTCATTATTACATACAATGTTCATCAATGTTCACTGTTCACCCAATAACATGTTCATTGACAATGTGTGTACTTCCTAGGCCTTCAAACCATTGAGACCTGGAGTTGTACTCTCAAACCCTGATCATATAAAACACACATTCGGGATCCAACCCAATCAAATGGGGACAAAAATCCGAGGCAACAACAGCAACAACAACCACACAAGGGACGCATGCAGTGATATCTCTCGCTCCAGTCGTACCTCAGGTTCGGTATGACTGGATCCTGGCCCCGAAACACCTTTGAAACAGCCGCTATAGCCCTATAAGGGCGCCCTATATGGTATGTTTTGGGCAGGTATATAGGGCACCCGGAGCCCGGACCACCTGGTAGGTCCATCTCAGCTGGTCAACCAGGGCCAGCTCCCCGGACCCGGAGCCGTGTCGATCCCAGACCCGTGGCACCTTTCCGGTTGCGCGTTTGACGGTTCGCAACACCTGGTGTTTTCACATGAAATCATGTTTTGGTTCTCGATCTGGGGTGTTTGGAGGACTATCCTGCGCTTCAAATGGATCCCATTAGGAGCAACTCACATCGACCACGCGGGCAATGTTCCAGGGCCAAACTTCTCGTCATGCCCCCTGACCGCCACATCCCGCCGCCTCACAGGCGCAGCAACATGCCTCCCAGGGGGAGGGATGAGCGGAGCTCCGTGGGATGTGCACACAAACTTCCTTGGACCCTTGGAGACTCCCCCAACAAAAAACGGGTGTTCACATATGTTCACTACAGAAATGGGTTAATAGGTATACCTATAGGTGGTACTACCCCTGAAATAATATGCCAAGGTTGATGGTATGTGTTTCATGGTGTTTCAATCACGCAAAGTCTGCCAGGTTATCCAATCCTTCGGTTGGTCGATGAGACTTGGTTTTGAAAAGAGTGCCTCTGTGATTGGCTGGGACAACTTGTGAACTGTCGCATCTTTTCTGGACTTTCAGAATGGTACAATTTCTAGCCATCCAGGAACATTGAAAATGACAGGTTGATCTGGTTTTGTAGAAAGTAGTAAAACAATCCCAAACACTCCATGTATGATATATCTACCTACACTGGGGTGGTTTGAGGGGTCTAATATGACAGACATGGAGTGTCTGAGAATGGTTGTTGTGTTGGCTCTCAAGTTCTTCACCACCTGGCGGCTTCAAAGGTCCAGTAGCCACACCCATGTGTCACTCGCACCCAGCAGCGATCCAAACGCACCACCAGCTGCCATTTTTGCACGAGATGCACGTCTTGGTCGACCACCCAAATCCCCGTTTTGCGTTTGAGACCTTTGTCTATGCTGTCTTTTCGAGGATGTCACTTTCAGTGTAAGGCATAGTCTGTATAGTGCCACGTGTTTCGATCTCACCGACATTGACCCAGTCCGCAGTGCATGAATTCTTTGACACTGTTTCTTTACTGTTAGACGAGCTTAACCCATCATAGCCTCTAGTGAACAACCTCTCCGTTATTCCTTCTGTGAGCACCGATGACCAGCCGCAAGAACGCTCTCGCCAAGGATGTTGACAGCACCTATTTACATTCAAAATGATGACTTGAATCCGAGATGCCAAGATCCAGAATGGTTTTTCCCTGCTAGTAGGTTGGAGGCCATTGCTATTAGGTTTCTCAATTGAGGGAGTTATTAATCAAAAGTCAATTTTCTCAACATTACAAGGACGCTACTAGGTGGAGGTTGGAGGCCATCGCTACTAGTAACAAGAAGCTACTACCAGCACCACAAAGGGTTGTTATTAGATGGAAAATAGATAGTCAGGAGTCAGGGGGGTCTATGGTGCTGGTAGTAGCTATTTGCTACCACCTTAACATTACCAGGTCTCCAACCGCGTTTCCTCCACTCGCACCACTGTGCGACACCGTTTTGGCGTCCTCCACGCCACATGTTGCCCGGGGGGATGGTGACTCCCTTGGGTGGTTGAAGCCGAATGAAATCGTGACCACAAACGATCCACATACTGTATGCATCTGTATGCCATATTATTTACATAGATTGGGGTGGTTTGGGGGTCGGTCAATGTAGGCATATATTCCAGTCTCGAGTATTTCGATGACAAGTCTGAAGACAGGGGCCTTTGTTGTCTGCACCAACACAATGGAACACTGACACTTGTGAAGTTCTCGCTTGAAGCTTAAAAGACATCATACCACTAACTTTGCATCTTGGTCTACTGTAATACCGATACCAGGAAAAACGGTTCTGGACCATCAGTCAGTTCATTGCCGCCGCCCGGGAGAGTTCCCTGGTCAGTGCTGTTCATTGCTGGGAGATGATCCACCTGGCAGCACAGAAAGCTGGGGTGTGAGTAGGACACGGAGTAGGACACGGAGTAGGCATCAAAAGGAAGCGGAGTCAAGGAAGGAAAAAAACAACATGGATCCCAGTTCAGATTTCCCTAATGGATCAAATCAACGGACCACAAGAGTCCCGAAACCGAACGCCTTGGACTTGAGGCGCCAACGGAATGTCCCAGTGTCCCAGTGTCAGCATCCGTTCTCATCGGGCATCCAACGTGACATCTGCCAACTGACACATGCTTAGCTAAAAATGGAATCACACTGACATCGACGTCAAAGAATGGTCGACTGGTGACTTATGAGACTTAGTTTCGTGACTTTGGAGCACCAAGGAGGACTGTCAAACATCATCAGTCATGTCAGAGCACTGGCTGCACCAAGGTTTGACAAAACCAATTTGTGGGTGGCGTTGCCAATTTCTTCCCGCTGGAAACAAGCCGCCGCCTCCCACCGCCTCCCCGCTCCCGTTTGGCAAAACAGCGAACTCAGTGGCACCGGTATCAACTTTGGACTTCCGCGAGAACATCTTCCCCTGGAAGGCATGCGAGCAATATGCTTTTGGATGTGCTTTGCAAAAGTCATTGATGCTGGGAGTGCTAGAGTGGCACATAGGCATCATGAGCATTCTCATATTCAAAGTTATTTCTTTATATATCTTTAAAACATTGTCCTAACACCTGTCTCGTCACAGGCTCAGCTCACTTAGTTTGCAAGGAAGTTCTCATAAAACATCATGCTGCTGTGCACTCCTACGGCATTCTGCGTTGCCCGAAACATCCAAACGCTCACCTACTCGTGATGTTGGTTGCGTCAGTGTCTGATTTTTGGACTTGATTGAGCACTTCATGTGGCATGGCTAGCACATAATCATACATGAATGATTCTACGTGAATTTGCGTACCATTGTCTGGAGTCTCACCGCTTGCATGAAGCGATATGAAGCGGGAAAACCAGGACATGCAAACCGTCGTGGCTGGCTGATGATTGATGATGGGCCGCGGGACATTGATGCTACCGTTGGACCTCCAACTGCTTCCACTCCAACTCACTCACATGGAAATGGAATACTACCCCGTTCATCGAGGAAGACCAAAGGTCCATACCATCCACTTCCATGTGTTCGTCGGAGACCTGTGTCCAGCAGCAGCTGGACCTATGCAGTTCGCCCAGACTGCGACCAAGGCGTTTCACATAGGAGGGTCAGACAGGGTCAGATGTTAATGTAGACTTTTGACAACACCCCCTACATCAAGAGGTTTTTGCAATCAAATGGGAGTCTACATTACCCTGTGATGATATAGTTGGATCAAAAGTTCCCGCAACAGAACTGCTCGGACACGGTTCAATCATGTTCGAGGTATCTAAGCCAATCTGGTAAGCTTGAGAACACATCACCAAGCAGCTTAAACACAATTCATTCCAGTTCACCCAGTTCCCCCCCGTTCAAACCTCCGTTTTGGTGCCCGGCCAGCGTCTCACTGTGCAAGGGGTTCAAGCTGTGAGCGACTCCTTGGGTTGACCCATGCATACACAAAGGTGCGGAAGGGGAGCGCGATGAGACGGAAGTGTTGAGCACCTTGTGCTTCCCTACTATCTGCTAGGAGGACCCGGGATGTGTGATGTTCTGACAAGAAAATCGGTTTGACACGGGATTCCACCGATTGCATCGTGACAAACACTTGCAAATGGCAAGGAATGTTCGCCCAACGACTGTAGGAACTTCCTGGTTCTGATGATTGATTAGAATTGATTATATGACTGGATGAATAATATGTACAGGTCAGTTTGACTTCCTTGTACTGGAGTTCATACGTACATCGTTGCAACACTCTTGGAGGCTTCACCCTGGATGACCCCTTTTCCCACCCCAACAAGACCACCTGTTCTTCTCTCACCAGCTCCTTTCACCCGTTTGCGCTGAGAACTCCCAGCGCCCCCTCCGGAAGGGACCGAGTGCCCAAGCCATGCATGGCGGACTTGTAGAGGTCGCTATCCGACAACGCCTGCGGTGGACGGAGCCGTTCGCCGTGTCGGAGCCGGGACCGCACGGCACTGGAAGATTGGACATGAAAGGCCACTCAACCATCCGAATGGTGGCAAATATGAGGACATGGAGAATCTTCACACATCCAGCAACTTCAATTGTCTTGAATAGCCGCTAGCCCAGATTTCATCACAAACGCATCAATGTTCAGCTGATCTGAGGAAATTGCTGTTCGCCCCTATCAAGTGGCACACAAATTGGTCTCACGCGCTCCGCATGTGTCACTTTCAGCCAAAGACCTGCACAAATTGTTATTTATGTTTCCTTCGACCTGCTTGAGGAATGACTCTATATACTGTATACGAATGAGATTGACATTGAGGTCATCCAATGGCTACGTGAGCTTTGCTACCTCCGCACTCCAAGACTGTTCAGAATTCCGCACCAAGACGAATTGCGAAGAACTTCATCCTTTAACAACAGTCTTGGAGCTTTTCCAAACATGTTGTTTCTATTTCAAAAAAACATCTGAGCAGAGTTATTCTTTTAAGGTGGTGGTGTTGACAGCCCTGGTGTAAAAACATGCATTGTGTGTGTTGTTCTGTTATTGTTTTTCCTCAGCAAGTGGTGGTGGGTGTAGGCCCTTCGAAGAACCCTGCGGTTGGCTGTGTTTCCACAGGTTTCCACAGTGAAAGCCTACGTACGGCAAACAGGTGCCTCTCTACCACTTATAGGATGATTCATTACACAACACACACACACACAAGTTACAAGATAAATACACGATAAATACAGTAGATGTAGATATGGGTGTCCAAGAAGTCACGCGTCTTGACACTTGACACTTGGAGTCACCTCACGCGTCTGAGTCACGCGTCAACCAGACCAGCCATGATCCCGTCGCTCTGCATCGCTCCCCAGTGCCGGCCTCTTGCATGACTGCTTTCAGACTTCCCAAGAGGTGCTGGGCACGGGTGAGGAGGTCCGGTCACGCAGGAAACACGTCAAGGCGTGGGTCAGGGTGCCGAGTCTGTGTGGCAGGGAGCAAGAAATGGTTTGCGTCTGCGTGAAGCACCAAGGAAGTTCAAGATGTTCTTTTTCCTGTGAGCTGAATGCTTCCACTGACCAGATGTTGAGCTGAATACTTCCACTGAAAGCAGCCTGTTTCGAAAATCTCTGCTCCAACAGTCAGCAACAGCATGTGCAGTTGCAGTTGGTCTCGGCTGAATTATGCTTGTTGAACCGATATCATGCTTCGATTCCGCAAGGCGCCGCAAGCCCTTTGACCATGAGAACCCAGACCAGGGTAAACCTGTCACTTTCCACCCACCGAACGAGTCACCCACCGATGCAAAATGGGTCGCGTCCCAAACTTGGGCCCTGCATGTCCGGAGGGCTGGGCCTCTTTTCCTCCTCTGACCTCCGGGTGTCGCTCGGTCGAATGGCGCCAAAACGCTCGGCCTCGTCGGTCATGGAGGTCTTGATGAACTTCTTGAGGACCTCGCGAGGGAATCAACGTCCCGGAAGGGACCCGTAACGGACAAAAAGACAGGGTGTGAAATGAGAGCCAAATCCAAGGTGTGTGATTTCTTACCTCTTCTGTGCTGTATCCCCAACAATCCATGGGACTGGAATATTTCAATTGCAGGCAAATACATGGACTGTTGGGGTATCAATTAAGATCATTAAGAGGGAATCGTCGTCCCACGACGACCACGGCGGATCTATCATGATCTATCTACTTTCCACGGGAGAATCCATATCCGACGAAGTGACCCAAGGTCTGATTTGGTCAATGTGTTCTTTTTCGTGTGTGACTCGTTGTTTTCGGGTCTTTGGCCACCAGTGTGACGAGGTCAATTTTTCCCTTCGTCACTTCCCGGATTTGAGAGCCTTGCGTGATGATCTGAACGTTTGCTGAACTTCTGCTCCATGCTAGGACATTAAAACTGCGACAGAACAAACGGGAAAATTATGTCACTTGAATCGGTGGCCAATCTCCATTTTCTGACTATGTGAGTTGGTACATTTAGGCCTACAAAGAACACACTTCCACCAGCAGCTGTGGCATTCTTTAGAACTCTATCGGTCTAATTCAGTCTATCAGAGTCTATCAGGTTTGCTTGGATCTACAACGTGGCACACGACTTCTGTTCCGTTCTCCAAGCAGGTAAGGTGGGAAGATCTCTGTAGCTGTTCAGGCAGCCCTGATCCTTGAACAAAGGTGTCACCTACCCGGCTGAAGAGTCTTTTTGGGGATGAGTGGCTCAAGAGTGTAGACATGTCTTGAGTCTAGGGGGGCTTCATCACAAAAAATACTGTAAACAAAAAAAAATACAAAAAGCAAACCGACAAAGAGTTGGTGAAGCTCACCAGGACTCACATCGTCACATCGTCCAGTCTTGTGTCCAGAAGCACACACAAAAAACACAGCGTTTAACATATATCCCAAACACTCCATGGGACGGGCATATGTGCGGCCCCAGTGACCTCTTTTCAACCACCCGAACTGATCAGCAAACACGCCAGGACAAAACCCTAGCTATAGCTATATGTGAGGATCCAATTAGTTTTTGGGCGGCAAGCACAATAACAAAATCTATCCTGATCTCCGTTTACGCAGGTGGAGCTGGCCACTTTAGATAATTACAATTATCCATGATTGGAATCTCGAGGTCTCAAATCACCAAGCAGTTGGATCCTCTTGATATTCCTTTTGCCACATGCTTTGAAGAGGCAAGTTCCTTTCAAGAGGCTGGACAAAAATCCCGAGACGTGGAACCATGCGCATGAAGAGGCAGGTCCTTTTTGGGGGTAGGTCGTGCACCGTTGCGCGACTCAGCGTGTCCCTCCCACGACTCGGCTGCGCGCTTCCAGGAACTTTGGATTGGCCATCAAATGGTCCTCGATGTGACGAAGGTCCAGGCGCGACCGAGATGGGGGATGAAGGAATCATCATAAACCATCCTCCATGTATAGCCTACATGTTTGTTTGTTCTTTTTTGGGGTGGCGAATGCAGGGCATATTTGCGCCAACATGGAGCCTTTGGATGGCGTAAGTTGCTTGAACATCTTGAACCATTTATTTGCATCTATTTACCATGGTAAAGCCTCCACGTGTGCGGTCCATCTGCTCTCCGTGTCTCTCCCGAAGAGGTCAAACTCGGGTGCCAGATCTGGCTCCGAAAACCCCCGATGAGATGAGTTCCCAGATGTTCTTTGATTCATGTAGCTTGGGTATATCATCCAACCTAACCTGGGCCCAGTGGATGATGATGGTTAAAGCGTTTTGTCTAACGTCATGTTCTTTTCTTTTCAAGACCGGGCTCAGGTTTGGAACAGGCCTTGGTCGACTGACCTGCAAGAGTGTATGTATAGAGATTGGTATAGTGACCTTTTTCACCATCGTTCCCAAGGGTCGTCAAGGGTCCTGCGACTCGCCACACCGGTCGGACACGTGAGGTCACCGGTGCCAATGAGTCATGAGTGTCGAGCACATGCGGCAATCGGATCATGAAGAGCACATGCAATAAAAATAACAATGCACCTTTCATATCCCATGTCCAAGTGGCCATCATGGCACACATGCTCGCCGCCATCTTCTCATCCTGTCGCGGCAGTTCAACAACCCATGGCCAAACATGATTTCAAATCGAAGGTGGTGATCGAAATGGGGCCGGGATGTGGGGATGTAAAGGGGATAATCAAAATTTCCCGATGCATTTTGTTTTTTTGGGTGAAACATCGTTCAACCGATATCAATGATATGCCGTTGATACTCAGAATCCGATGTCCTTTGCACGATGCAATCAATCCAACATCTCATTGGGTACATTCCCCAGTTTCTTCAATCACCACTTCCCCGACACATGGCGAAACATCGGCGTTCCCAGCGGGGCCTGGAAGCTCAAGATCAAGGCGGGCGGCAGAACGTTGCACATCACTGGCTCGAGTACCTGCCCACTCAAGTTAGCACAGGTGGATGTGCGTGGATGAGTGGTTAGTTGGTGCGGCGACATGTGGCGCTATTCCTTTTCCAGACTGCCAAGCGCTTGACCACATGGGGCTCAGTTCGCTTCTCTTGATGTGTCTCGCAGCGCGGTCGTGCTGAAGGTCCCTGTGTCGGACAAAACGCCAAAGAGAATCTCCCATCCTTGGAATTTACACATTCAAAAACAAGCACTTCAGTGCCACTGCAAGTTTCTTCGGTCCCTTCCAACAGATCAAAACTGATGAACATCAACATCCAACCTGATCATTCAACCTCGTTACAACCATCCCCTCGGCTTTCACAACCCGTTGATGGACCCGACCGGCACCTCTGTGACGCATTGAACGATGAAGTTCTTGAAGAAGGAGACTCCTTCAAAGCGTCGAATACGGATTCAACTGGAGGAGTTGGATCTGGTTCAATGTGGGAGTCAGATCTGGTCATCTGGTTAGAGTTGGCGGTTTCATCTCCGACCACCTGACCACCTGCCTGTGCTTCTTTCTGATCTGTCCCGATGTCCAACCCAGGCAGTACACGCACGGCATCCCAGCATCTCCTCCGGCGAGCCCTGAGAGGCTGAAGCCACCTATGAGAGAAAACTCGACGTCGAGTCGTTCAAAAGAAAGGCACCATGAGTTGGGTCTCAATTCATCAGGGCAAGGCCGTGTGTTGCGCCCGGCACCAACGAAGCTCGCAGCGCTTATAGCATCTTAATGTATCTTATATACGTTATATAGTTATAGGGCTTGAAGGGCTGGTGGGAGGTTCATTATGGTTCAGTCCCTATCTGTTTGAGGACGTAGTTGGAACTCTACAGAATGGGACTGATCTAGAAGGCATATGTTATGTTCCTGGAGGTCTTGGAGACCTATACCTATACCATCATAAAACGCATGCATTGACATGCTATATATATAACATATATTAATATATAAACTAACAAGTATATAAACCCCTTCTGATTTCTACATGTCTACAATTAACAAGGGACTTTCAATCACATGCTGGCGGGCGGGGTGTTCGTTCACCAGCAGCATTGCTAACACAAACGCTATTACCCGCCCCCACCCACTCCACCCGAACCCCGCCCACCCTCTAGGGTGAGATCCACCAAAAGTGGTAACCTGGTAGGCTTGATACCACCTGGAAAAAACACCAGTTTGTGCCAAGTATGGACAAGCGAACGACAGTGAGCTCGTCTTTTCTATGGTTTCAGAATGATAGCAGCTAGTATTGGGCCTTGAGCCAAATTAGAAAGCAAAAGGTACAAAGCTTAAATAAAGGCCGAAAACACTACAAAGTAGTAGAATCAATGCGTAGATTCGTAGATACGGAAAACGATGGAACCAGGAAAACTACAAACAACACACGAGTTCGCCCCAAGGGGCTGAGGGCGCGAAAACGCCGGCGGTTTCGCCTTCAACCATCCAGTGCGAGGAAAACGTGTGGTCACCGTGGCTACCCAGCTCTCCAATGCCCTCCGACATCTGAACCCTAACCCATGTCAGCTGCTCAATGACTGCTTGCCAGACCTCCGCGGACCTCCAAACGTGGCCCCTGTTGGAATTGAGGCCCTGCTTGCCAGCCGTTCGGTCTCTCCCCTTCACCCCGCGAGCGGTTGGGTCCCGGGCCGAAGAGCTCCGCCGCATTCGGCGCGGTGAGCACCGCCGCCAGCGCCAAGAGCACGGCCAAGCTGCCTCGGTGGTGAGGTCCCGATGGTCCCGGTGGTCCAGCCATTGTCCATGTGAGACGTACTCCAAATGCGTCCATGGTCCATGGGGGAAAGCGATGCTAAGCAAGAACACCCATGCGGCTAGAAAGAGTCGATGGGGTGGCCTAAGTATGTCCCTCCAACCAAAGAATGCAAGGGATGCTTAATTGACAAGTATAAGGTAAAATCACATGTGTACTGCAGGACAGGAAATTGATGTTAATATATCCACATAATATATTTCCACGTTAGTTCAGGAAAGGGTACTGAATTGTTGCCGAAATCGTCCATCATCCTCACATAATTTTGACAACAATATACTGTGTGACAATACTGCTTACTACCCTAGGGATGCACAGAAGTGAGAAGGGACAAGTAGTTGAAGGGCCAACTGTTGAGGGATGTTGAGGGCAACCTTTTAACAAGTCAGTTCAACGCTGCAGGGGTTCACGTCGCAGATGTTTTCTTTGTTCGCACGGCGTGCGCCCTGCACATGCATCTCGGCATGAGGAAAAAACGAATGACCTGGAGTCGGCAAGTACCCTTAAAAGCCAACTAAAGCAAGTCGGTGGGACAGAAGTCATGCCATATGACTCATGATCCACAACAATGCCAAAAAGGTAAGGCAAGGGTTCCGGGATCTTCGTTTGAGAGAGAGAGTTCTCAGCTTAAGGGCACCCAGACTGACTCCAGCACTTCAGCACTTTAATATTCTTCTTGGAAACGATAGGAGGAAACTGCAATCTTACATTCTGTCGGACACTCCTTCAAGTCATTGCTTGGGCTCCTCAACGGTCGTCGAGGCTTCGATCAACGCGAGCCGGGGACTGAGCGAGCGCCGCTCTTTCAACCGACCGTTCATGATGGTAAGCTTCCAGATTCTAGAGATTTGGCCATTCTATTTTTGGTTTGTGATGATGTGATGTGGTGATTCCCACCTGAAAATATGTGCAGCTGGTTCTGAACCCTGTACCATCCTCGAACACACTGTTAAAGCAAGACGTGAAGCGGAAGAGTGTAGACACAGCCTTTCAAACGAGGACGCGTGAAAGTGTATAAAACCCTACTCTAAACGTGAACATAGAAATCATGAAGATCGCAACTTATGCAAGTCAAGCTGAAATCTCAAAGAAACCGCATGGGCACACACACACATCATCATACAAGGGCCCATCTTCAGGAGTCTCAAGGCACATGATAAAGCGCAACATCATCGTCATCATGGGTGTCGTCATCATAATCAACATCAGGAACATTAACATCAACATCATCATCCCTCATCATCCCTCATCATCCCTCATCATCATCATCATCATCATCTTCTTCATCTTCATCTTCATCTTCATCTTCATCTTCTTCATCATCATCATCCATCATTGTCATCATCATCATCCATCATTGTCATCATCATCATCATCATCATCGTCATCATCGTCATCATCATCAGCATTAACAATAACTCATCTATCATCAATCATCCTCCTCCTCATCATCATCACCGCCACCACCACCACCACCATCATTATCATCCATCATCATCGTCATCATCATCAGCAGCAGCAGCAGCGTCAAATGTTTACCATTCGCCCACACTCACTCGGGTTAAGACATACGGCCTACGCCTAAGCGGTAGCCTAAGTCCAGGGTGTCAGAGGTACAACCAGCCTAATGTCCGACTTGGATGTCAGCCAGCCAACCAACCAACCAAAAGGAAAAGGCCATCTATGCTTGGAACCCCTAAAGAAACAGGTCAAAGGATCAAATTCAGAACATCTCTCAGGTGAATCCGTTGGCTGTTTCGATTTCACCGGTGGGAGAAGTCGTTCTCCCATGCGGACATCTGCACAGGGCGGCTCGCTGCCACTCAGAGGATCAGTCCTGCACTCAGGGGAATCAGTCCTGGCACAATTCCGCTGCATGAGGGGTGGTCAATCCGAAACTCTCCTCAACCAACGCCACCCAAAGGATGAGTACAGTGGTTTCAGAGCATCGATGGCACAATCCCCATCTGTTCGGACCGGTGATTCTTCCGGACCCCCATCTGTTCGACCTCGGACTTCGTCCGGGCCAAAGAGCCCGGGCTCGTTCCACTGCACGAACGGTGCTTGGTACACGGCTCATTTTGGAACCTAGAAACGGCTCATTTTGGAACCT